GCCAGGATGCGCTACTCATGTCTCGCCCCGAGGGGCCTCCTGAGATTTGAGTTGTCCACTCAACCATCATGCACATTCTCTGAGCTAGAGCTCCTTTTGCTGAGGCATCGAGTGGCTTCACTCTTTAACTCCACTCTGCAGTTTCGATAGATGGTTCGGCCCACTTGGACCTCCCTGTCACACTGCCCTTACGGTTGAACCAGTGAATCGCTCCTCTGTGGAGTGGGTTTGAGTATACTGCTTTCCCTGAGGTACGAGTGAGATGTGTTTCTCCGGAAACCCTTCATAAATGCTTTGGCTCTGGTAGCGGTAGCTCTTTATGCATGTATGGGTTGTCGGGTCCCGCTGTACTACAGGCTCTTTCGGGTCTGGTTAAACGGGACCCGCTCTCTTTCGAAATAGTCTAATTCTCTCTATGTTTGGCTGTAACCGCTGACGATCTCTCATCTCTCAGCACTGCCTTCTGGTGGAGCTAGGAATGCTTCCCTTACTGCGAGGGTTAGCTATGAGCCCCACGCCTCAGCTCGAGAGCTGAGAGAGCTGCTCCTGAGAACTCCATATGCAACCATACCGAATTGTTAGGCCCGACCCTGTCACCTCCTTGGCCGGTTGTCTCTATGGTGTGACCCTGTTCCTCCCTGTTGGAATGTGTGATCCCTTTCTAAGCTGGATCCCATTTCTAATGTCCCATTTGTGGTAAATCTGCTCCCCGGACATGGCAGTGCTCCCGTCACTGAGGAAGGGTCTTTTAGGAGCTTGCCATCGTGATGTGCTCCCTATCCCCTGGCTGGGTGTTTGCTTCGAGAAGCTGCCCTGGCCAGGGTGCGCTACTCATCTCTCACCCTGAGGGGTCTCCTGGGATTTTAGTTTTTCCTTTAAAGGGGGGGTACAATGCTGTTTCATGCATTGAGTTGTTTACACTGTTAAAGAGGTGGATTCTCATGCTAAGCATGGACAAAGTTTCAAAAAACAATTTGGATGTATGCTGGAGTATTTCTGTGCCAAAAATCTTACTTCCGGATTCGTACAAGTTTCAAAGAGTTTTTTTTCGATTGTGGCTCTTCATGACGTAAACGAGGGTGGAACTCCTTATATGGGCATTTCTTCCGGAAGAACGTGCCTGCGCACGCATCGACCGGAGTGAGAGCGAGATTGCGCCCATCAACGCGCTTCATTCGGCTGCACTGCTGCACGGGACATGCTCAGGAAGAATGTCTCCAAAGAAGTGAGTTTTTGGTTTTAAGGGAAAGATAACTTTGTTCAGCTTCCTAAAGGACCCAGCGTTATGTAAACAGTGGATGCAGTTTTTTTTTTCGGGGGAGCAACGGAGTTTCACAAGTGTGTTTGTTGAGGAACATTTTATAAACAAGGCCCAATTCGACGCTGTATTTGCACATCGTTTGATTTGATCATTGGATGGAGCGGTCCCAGCTATAAAAGATCCCGGTCATGATTCAGAACTGCGCACGGTAAGTGAAATGGCATCAAATGTCTGTGTTTTGTTGGCAATCGGGCAAGTGCTGGTCAATCTTTAGCTCCGCCCACGGCGCGCCTCCATAAAAGAAAGATACAGCTTTACGATTCTCTCCGGAAACAGCCGACCTCCTGGAGGTGCGCCGTGGGCGGAGCTAAAGATTGACGAGCACTTGTGCCGATTGCCAACAAAACACAGACATTGGTGTGTTCAACCTTCATGGTTGAACCAGTTATCGCCCCTCCGCGGAGTGGGCTTGAGCACACTGCGTTCCCTGGGGTACGAGTGAGTTGTATTTCTGCGGAAACCCTTCCTAATGCTTCAGCTTTAAGGAGCTGTAGCTCTGTGTGCATGAATGGTTTTTGGGTCCCGCTGTTTCTTCTGATCCGATCGGGTCTGGTTATACGGGACCCACACTCTCTATCAAGATTGAGAGCATGAGATTGCGTCCAACTGCACCAGTTGACCATCTCTTACTGGGCCCTGCTGGGATTACCCCTTCTAATCTAGCTCCGCCTTCTGGTCGAGCTGAGAAGTGCTCGCCTCTCTGTGAGGGTTAGCTATGAGTCGCTCCCAATGTGCTATCTAATCTATTTCTGATGTCCCATTTGCGATCTATCTGCCTCTCGGACATGGTTGTGCTCCCCTCACGGCGGGAGGGTCCTTTTGAGCTCGCCAGTCCTGGGCAGACTGTGTGGGTCCTCCTCTCTACTTGAGAGCTAGGTACTCTTCCACTGGGCTATTGATCGCTTCGGTCAAACTGGGTTCCTCTCTCTCCTCGCTAGGGGTTTAACCCTCCGCTCTTTGAGCTCCATGGCCGTGATATCAGGTAGTTGGGCCGCTTGCTGCCTCTATTTGGGTCAAGCCTGGCCGTGCTCCCCTCACCTCAGAGGGTTGTCTTTGAGCTTGCCGCTCCCAATTGAGCATCTGAGGCCTCCTCTCATCAAGTCCTCCACTCTTTTTATCTCCATTGAGCAGCAGCCTCAGGTTGTTAGGCCTCTCTCTGCCTCCCTGTTAAACTGCTCTCCTTGTTGGTTGAGGCTAGCAGTGCTCCCCTCATCCTAGGGCAGGGGTCTCCAACACGTCGCTCGAGAGCTACCAGTAGCTCGTGGTCTGATTGGAGGTAGCTCGCGAAGACATACTTATTTTAAGTATCCCGTTTCATATTTTAATTATTTTAAGTAAATACTGCTTAGTTGTAATCAAAGTTAGTAAGGGTCTCACGCAGGCGCAACACGCATAGTTTTGTTTTGTGTGAAAACATGACTGAAGACAGACTGCTGAGGGAAATTTTATGAAAGAATGTATGATTGAATTATTTGTATGAATGCATAATAGGAAACCGACTGTCTTCAGAAAAGTTTCAATGGCATTTGCTTTCCATCTTCCCTCTGTGTAATGCATAATAAAGCAGTGTTTAGAAGCGCAGCGCAGCTTTGTTTACAGAGGTTACAGTGGAGGCTCAGATCATAAGCGCCACCTGCTTTTAAACTGGATTTACAAATTTATTCAGTCTGTCTGCCATATTTTTGTTCAGACCAATGTGAAGATCGGACCAAATTATTGTTGTAAATCTTAAACGGTCAATGGAAAATAGGCTACCTTAAAAAATGGTCAAAACTTTATTTGAACATATAGTACATGTCAGTAGATAACATGTTATGAATATTTTTTGTTAGTTTAAAATCCGGCCATCATTTTTTTATGTTTTTATTTCACTGTTTATGCAAACAAAAAGTGCTTAGTGCTGCTAATTTTATTTGTTGGCTTTTGTCATAAAACTTAAATGTAAGATGATTTCAGTGTGTGTATCGGTACTTTTTAAATATTTCCAGCACATTTTAACAATGTCTCGTATAACAGTTTGGATTGATATATTATTTAAGAGATTTAAGTATTGTATCAAATTGGTAGCTCTTAGCCGCTTTAATTTGTAAAAAGTAGCTCCCAAATGAAATAAGGTTTGAGACCCCTGCCGTAGGGTGTTTCTTATGAGCATGCCACTCCCAGATTGAGCGTCTGAGTCCCCCTTCTATTTTTGAAGTTGGGCCTCCTCTCTTTTGAGCTCTGGATGACAGTCATGCCAGGTTGCTGGGCCATCTTCTGCCTCCCTGGCGGGTTGCTTGCTGGTGAGGGTTTTCTTGCGAGCACGCTGCTCCCTTCTGGGCATCTGTGAGCAGATGCTCCGGAGTCTGTTCTGTGACTGCTATGGTTGACTTGGCGATACTCCACTCACATAGAGGGTTTTTCTGTGAGATACGCCTTTTCAGTCCACATGCGCGCTGAGCACGCGGTCTCCCGCTGAATTAATTGTCACTCCCTGACCGTGCCACAGTCACGTAGGGTTCCTAGGCCTGTCTAAGTGACAGTTTCGGTTACCCCTCAAGTAACAGTGTTTTTAAAAACCATGCTATGGTAAGTGCACACGCTGAGCTTCTGTGCACTTTCCAAAAATCCACATTGTGGTAAGTGTGCATGCTAAGCATTCTGTACACTTTCTAAAATCCTGTATGGTAAGGGTTACACGCTGTCAGCCTCGTTCCCTTTCTCTGAGCTGGTTCAGGCCCCGGTTTTCACCTTGGGCTCCACTCAACTTATGTATCCCTGCTGATACATTTCTGAGCAGGGTGTTGCTACCAAAGATCTGTCGTCAGTTCTTTGAGCAAGCTCATTCAGATCTGGTGGTAGCCCCCTGGGTGACAGGCCAGGGTCTGGTTGGTTTGTAGACACCTGGCCATATCCCCTTGAAGGAATCTCTTTCTTCCGATTCCAAGCCTTGAGCTCTGCCCTAGGCTCGGGCTTCCCAGCCCAGCCCAGCCCTTAACAGGTAAGTTGTTAAGGGTATGCAGCTCAGGCCCTTGGCCGAAGGGGATAATGTCACTGACAGCCGTCAAGGCGTCCTAGGAGCAACTCCCATGGCTGTGGTAGAGTTGGTACTTAGTGCTCGCCGTGGTTTCTGGCAGGCACTCCCCTCAGCATGGCGGCGTGGGTATACCGTTCCTCAAAGCAACCTCTAGAGGACGCAGTTCGAAGTTCCCACGGAAGGGAACGTCTCAGGTTATGTATTTAATTAACCATGGTTCCCTGAGAAGGGAACGAGACACTGTGTCCTCTAGTTCCCTTGCCATACTTCGGACGTAAGCTTCAGACGAAGAAGTGGATGACGTGTTCTCCCGGCGCCCTTTTATACTGTGGTCAGAACCATGGCTACATACGTAACCTGAGACGATTTGTTTCAAGACCCACAGGATCCCAGTCACAAAGCAGTCCCCTAATGTGTTTTTGTTTTGTTTTATGAGAGGCTTGATAACTGCCAGCTTGAAAGAATTTGGGACGTGTCCTAAAGAAAACAAAGAGCTAACAATATTGACATAAGGTTCTAAGATTACAGGTTACAGTAACTTTGTGGGTATAGGATCTAGCATACACGTGGTTGTGTTTGATGCTTTACGTGTGTAAATGTTTTTTTGTTTGTTGCTATGTGACCTTAAACCAGGGTGAAATTGCATGTTTCTTTCCACTTTAGACCTGATGCCACTGAAAGAGGAGAGTCAAGATCTCAATGATATGGAAGAAGAATATCAATATGAGAAACCTCATCAGTTCATGACTGCAGAAAAAGATTTTAGCGACTCAAAGATTGAAAAGACGTCCTCAAAAACCAAAGGAACTAGAAACATTAAAGGTCACATGAATGTTCAAACTGGAGAGAGCCCTTTCACTTGCCAACAGTGTGGAAGAAGATTCAGTCACAAAAAAACCCTTAACAGGCACATGAAAATTCACACCGGAGTGAAGCCTTTCACCTGCCAACCGTGTGGAAGATGTTTCAGTGACGAACAAACCCTTAACAGGCACATGAAAATTCACACCGGAGTTAAGCTTTTCACCTGCCAACAGTGTGGAAGAAGTTTCAGTCACAAAAAAACTCTTAACAGGCACATGAAAATTCACACCGGAGTGAAGCCTTTCGCCTGCCAACAGTGTGAAAAGAGTTTCTCTGACAGAAGAAACCTTGATGCCCACATGAGTGTTCACACTGGAGAGAGACCTTTGACCTGCTCTCAGTGTGGAAAGAGTTTTATACAGAAAAAACACCTTAATGTCCACATGAGTATTCACACTGGACAGTGCCTGGACACCTGCAAACTGTAGAAGGAGTTTCTCACAAAAAGGTCATCTTAAGACTCACGAGAACTCGCACTGGAGAAAAGCTGTTCACATGCGATCAGTGTGGAAAGAGTTTTACTCACAAAAAACCTTACTGTCCACATGCAATATCATACTGTCAGATTTAAAGAAAACCTTAACTTTTACATTAGGATTCACACAAGAGTGAACGATTTTATATGTCATCAGAGTGAAAGGAGTTGCAAAGACAGCAAATGCCTTAAGAATCATGTAAAAACTCACGCTGGAGAGAAGCCTTTCATGTGCGATCACTGTGGAAAGACTTGCGCAAACAAAGCAAATCTTGAGAATCACATAAGAGTTCACACTGGAGAGAAGCCTTACAAGTGTCTTCAGTGTGAGAAGACTTTCATGTATCATTCAGGCCTGAAACATCATTTACAGACTTACGCACACCGCAAGCTTGAGCTTCACGTCAGCGTCACTGCAGCTGCAGACTCCTGAGAGTATTCACAATGGAAGAGTTTGTACAGCGTCACAGCAGTGGCTCCAAAGCTGCATACTTCTTTACAGACAGCTATACATTTGTTTTTTAGAAGTTGATATCCAAAAATAAGCCATATGCATTCATTCTGGAGGACATCAGTTCAGTTGTAATCAGTGTAACTTTTTTTTTCTTTTGCCATCACACTTCACAGATGCATATGAAAAGACATAAATTGTGTTCTTTGTGAAATAGTAAAGCAACAGAAAATGTATACGTGTGTGTAAAATTAAGGCTCTGTTCACACCACAGCTGAATGTGGGCTACATTTGATTGTCCACTTTCACGACCACTTCTTTTATTTGCATCCTTCACTTCTTTATGCTTCAGCTAATTTTTTGTTACAAATAAAACGACAAATTTATAATGAACTCTCCACTGTTTTATTTGATTTCAATTATTAGGTAAACATGTTGTCATTCTGGTCTTCAATATGGAAGATGAACCATGGAACATTGCTGAATAAATAATTATATAAATTGAAGGAAGTTTGTCTTCTAACCAATATGAAGGATTTGTGAGATTTCATTAAAGGGGTCATATGATGCTGCTAAAAAGAACATTAGTTTGTGTATTTGGTGTAATGAAATGTTTATGCAGTTTAAGGTTAAAAAAACACATTATTTTCCACATACTGTACATTATTGTTTCTCCTCTATGCCCCGCCTTTCTGAAACGCGTCGATTTTTACAAAGCTCATTGGTCTGAAAAAGCGAGGTGTGCTCTGATTGGCCAGCTATCCAGTGCGTTGTGATTGGCCGAATTCCTCAAGCGTGTGATGGAAATGTTACGTCCCTTACCATATTGTGATGCCTGCGGCAACCACATGTGACGACCCCGGGCTCTGCTTCGTCCACGGTGAAGGCCGATCTGGCGATCCACAGCGCGAAGTTGAAGTATTTCCTCAGCGACCAGCATGGATCAGGATCCTTAGATCCTCACGTGCAAATTGTGTGTTGTTTTTATTTTTATGTTTTTCCTTATTCATTTATAATAATTTATTCACATAATCATTTTAGAATCATTAGTCATTCATATGATTTATTATTTGATTATTATTATCATTTATCATTATATTATTTAAGTATTTTTATTGTTTATTCATTTATTATATTTCTGTATATTATATTTCTTATTAATTTTTCCTTATGCATTTTCATTGTTGTTCAATCTCATGCTTGTGGGGTTTCATTAACTGTTTTGTCTGTATGAATAAGAGATAGATAAGAGGGAATGTTTATGGAAACCCAAGGTTTATGGGATGTTGCTGTGAAGTAGTTTTGGTGTAACAGTACATGTTGAATTTGTGCTGGTCAGACGAAGTTTGAACATTGAGACATAAGCAACTAAGATTGTTCAATAAACTCTGTTATTTTTTAAAAAGCGTCTGCTAAATGACTAAATAAATAAAATAAATAAAAAATTTGTGCTGGTCAGATGAAGTTTGAACATTGCGACATATGCAACTAAGATTGTTCAATAAACTGTTACTTTTTACCATCATCACTTCGTCTCCTGCTTCTGCTCTTCTCTGGCTTTCCTCTGTCAACTTCTTGACTGACAGAAGACTGTTAAACACCCGTTTTGGGTATTTTTCCGGGTACCAGACAAGACTTGCTGTTGACAGGGTTTGGGTATTAACAGCGCTGCTGACTAGTTGTTTTGTTACTGGACAAACTGATATTCTCTGACGGGATCTGGCGTCCGGGGCTGGATCCTAAATATTATCTGGTGTGGAGACCCGATCTTGTAGAGCCGCTTACTGTATTGTCAACACAAGGAAGACACAGTTGTAATAAAAGCGGTTTTACGAACAAAAAGATAGATGAGTAACTAAAAGCTACTAAATGAATGGATAAAGCGACTGATGAGTTGGATGTTCATATGGCAGTTACATGTTCTCTTATGGAAAGATAAACCTTAAAGACTCTGGATTTACAAACGTTTCGTAAACAACAGATTTGATAGTTAAACATGTATGCTAATGAATTTGAGTCATTTGTAAACGGTCACAATTAGCATAATCCCTGCCTATGAATTACAACTACGTAAATTACGTGTCCAGGAATTAACCGATTACTTCAAACAGCTGATTCATCCAGGAATGAAGCATTTGACTGTGCTAAAGGATAAGTCCAAATGTCCTGATAATTTACTCACCCCCATGTCATCCAAGATGTTCATGTCTTTCTTTCTTTAGTTGCAAAGAAATTAATTTTTTTGAGGAAAACATTCCATTAATTTTCTCCATATAGTGGACTTCAATGATGGCCAACGATTTCAAGGTAAAACATGCAGTTTCAATGCAGCTTCTAAGGGTTCTACACGATCTCAGCCTAGGAATAATGGTCTTATCTAGCGAAACAATTGGTCATTTTCTGAAAAAAAAAAATCAAGCGTAGGGTCAGTTCTGGCAGGTCACGTTAGTCAAGCTTGCATCAGCTGACTCCACGTCTACCTATAGGGATGCGACACCTATCACAGCACTCATATATTTATATATATATATAAGGTCGTTCAGTATTATCAGCAGCTTTCGCGTTGCTCAATAGCTAATTACCCACCTCCATCCCCGACGACTCCTCTTGTCAGTCAGGATTCAGCCTTCTGATTCTCCTTTGAATCAGACAAATTTTTTAAATGTTACATTCAATTATTGAAACTTAATGATATCTGCAATTTATTTATATTGGTTCTGTTCTGTTTACCCCGGGGGGTTATCGCTGCTCTTGCCCAGAACAGAACCATACCACCAATCCAAACTGTATGCTAATTGTCAGTCATCTTTGACGATAGTGGTCCTGACAGAAATAATATTTATCCACTTTTTAACCACAAATGCTCAGCTTGCTCTAGCTCTGCGATGCGTGTCTTCACACATTACGTAATCTTGGTGGAAAGGTCATGGCCGGTTAGTTCTTCGTCTTTGTACTTTGGTTAAAAACTCCATCTCATTTTCTCCTCTAACTTGAAAATCATCCGGCATTGTTGTTTTACCTTTATTGTAAAGGGCATTTGACTTTTTCACATGTTCGCTTTGTAAACACTGGGTCAGTACTTCTGCCTGACTTTTCCAATATCACCTAATAAAGACGAGCATGCGCATTACAGAGCTAATGCTAGCCGAGCATTTGTGGTTAAAAAGTGTATTAATAAATTTTTTTAAAGAAAATGACAGATTGTTTCGCTAGATACAGTAAGACTCTTATTCCTCGGCTGAAATCGTGTAGAACCCTTCCTAAATGTTCCTGGAATGTTCTGGAAGGCGCTGCGTAATATTGCGCCTGCTGCACCCATGGTACGGCAGCAAAGTTCCTTGATTATTACGCCGGAATGAGATTATAGTTATATCGGCCTAGAAAATCGCAACTTTTCATTTTCCGTCGGTCTTAGTACACGATGTAACTACAGATGAGTCAAGTTTTAAACAGGAAAAATATAGAAACTTTGTTTTTTTTGAGCGAGATGCTAATGGTCTAATCAGATTCAATGATCTATGCTAAGCTACAGCTAAAAGTGCTACCGCCAGACCCGGAGATCGGCTGAATGGATTCCAAAACGGTAAAACTCAACTGTTTAAAACTCTAGGGTAGTTGGAAAATGAACCTATTTTCAAAAATAGTGGAGTGTTTCTTTAATAATAGCAGTTACACGCTAATAATAAATTAAGTGTAAAACTTAAACGGGTCATTGGATGCAAAATTCACTTTACATGTTGTTTGAACATAAATGTGTGTTGGAAGTGTGTGTGCACATCCACCCAATAATGATAAAAATCCACCCAGTGTTTTTTTTTTGTTTTAAATCCCTATTTTAAAATCCCCTTTCTCAAATCAAGCTGTTTTGAGATTCCTGTCAGAATGACGTATCTGCACAGGCCGCTCCCACGATAGTTGATTGACAAGTCCGTCTTACCTTAGACCCGCCCAAAGTGAGCTGTCCGCCATTGTGTCGACTCCAGTGCAGGGGAAGACAAGAATGTCTCAGATTAAGCAATTGAGGTGTTTTGTTGTTGGATGTAATAGTGAACACAGCAGTCGTCATTTACTCCCGACATCTGAGCCGCTGAAGACGCAGAGGATTAACGTTACTTTCATTTTTGAAGGGAATGCGCCCCCGATTTAAATAAATGCGTTTGTTCGTGCGAATCATTCGTGATCCAGCTTCATCAACAGAAGAAGTGAGTATAAAGGTTTTTTATGAATCATGAATCGTTACCTTTCCTAATATTGTGCTAGTTAGCATGTTTCACGGCTAAAGTTTACAGTCTGCTCGTTGCTCGTCGGAAGAGAGGGGCGGGGTTAGCAGAGCTCATTAGAATTTAAAGCGACATGCAAGGAAACGGCTTGCTGTTAAAAGAGCTGATTTTGACAGGGTAAAAAGGGTGTTTTTCACACTACCATGGAGAAAAGTATGTTATAGACTTTTCATTAAGACCCTAAAGAATCATATCAACTTGTGGAAAATGGATCAACTTGTGCATTCGATGACCCCTTTAAAAAGTAAAACAAAAATAAACAATGACTTGTTAATAAACAAAATAAACAAGTGTCTTATAGTAAGTAGTACTGTAAAATAATGTTTTAATCAATATAATTCCCATAGATTATTTACATTTAGTCATTTAGCAGACGCTTTTATCCAAAGCGACTTACAAATGAGGACAATGGAGGCAATCAAAGGCTGCATTTACACTGCAAGTCTTAATGCACAGATCCGATCTTTTCACAATATCCGATTTTTTGGCCCGCCTGTTTGGAGGCAATCATTTACACTGCAAGTCTTAATGCACAGATCCGATCTTTTCACAATATCCGATTTTTTGGATTTTTTGGCTACATTCACTTTAGACATGCCTCGTATCCGATATCTGTGTTTACACTAATCTCCCGCCTAAAATAATTTCACTGGCTTTCACGACAATGAGCGCAACGACTGACCCTCGAATTCTGGATGGACTTTTGCTTATT